TTTTGCTCACATTGCTTCTCGACTCCAAAATTTCTTTCCTGCAGATCCCTCAGGCTCCTTCGTCAAGACCAAAGCGATCACCATCAGTTAAAAACAGCAAGCAGGCTTCCGTAATTTCGTCGATTCTGGAAGATAGTAGTGATGAAAGGTGTATTTTGCTTGAAAACTTTAGTTTTACTATTGTTGTTCCGTAAGAGACGATTAATCTTATCTTATAGTCTGACTAGCGATGAAGAGATCGATCCGTCAACACCTCGTTCGTACATTGATCTGCTGGCCAGAGCGAAAAAGAGGGCTGAAAGAAAACGTGAAAGAAATGAATCTCCTCGACCAAATGTATATGGACTTAGTTGGTGCGTCCGGATCTTAAAACGTTTGCAGTTTTTAGCGAAATAGATTTTCGATCACACTTACATGCCTATTTCCATTTCGATTTTCGGTGAAGAAAAGCAGTGTGAGATTACCCTTTTTTTCAGCAGGCCCTCTCAAATGAAGACACATCCATACGGAAGCTACGCAACGAGTGGTTCCGTAAGTTCTTTTGTTCCTTCTTTGCAAGAATTTCATTGAATTCATTGTCAACTTATTTTCCAATCACGAAATCAAAAGAAATTGCTAATATTGCTAATGTTGCTTGAAACGAACGTACTTCATAATAGGTGCTCGCTAACAAACATTTCGATGCCTGCACATCGTACTCAACCGTGTCCAGTACATGTATGGAATGCCAAAATTTCGCTGAAATAGGTTGGTTGCCATCGTACAGGGCATTCATTTATAAAATCGTGACGACGGATTCGACTGTGGTCTTTGCGCCCATGTAAGCGTTACAAGAGCATATAATATTGAAACATCTTAGCGTTTAGCATAGTTATTTCACTTGTCTAGCTGCTAACATATTATACAAATACTTCAAGAAGAGAATGAATCAAGAAAATGCGGTTCAAGCTGCATAACCGACGCTCTCGCCGTCAGTCACGATTTTCTAAGTGACCTAAAAATTTTCGGTTGTGAGATAGTTTTTCCAGGTGCTGACTACAACTACTCGAGCCTTCGCTTTCAGTACAAGGCAAGCCCATCCAGTGAGTGATCTTTTTTGAATACCTGTTATAGAATTGTTGAGTTTTGGATGCTTTAGGCACATTACGAAAAGAACAAAGCGCAGCTGCAGTTAACAACTTGAAGCGTATCCTTCCTGAGCGAAAGCCGCTGAACTTTCAACGTAAGTGAAAGTGCTAGTATGATAGTTCTACGTTGTAATAGTCCTTTATGTTCAGAACGACTACCTCTACCAAAAGTTGTACGCAACTACATACCTCAGCCAAGTTACAAACTTGGTACTCGTCGACTCGTCGACCAGCCTCCAAATTTAGGTGAGGACATACTGTAAAAATTCCCTTTATACTAGACCCAAAATGTATCCGTTTTCTACGCGTGAAAGGTTATTCAAACTCTTTGAACAATTATGTCACAGCATACGTAATTACCAATCTATCATATATTTGCCACAGCCTTATATATATCTGTCACAGCCTTCCTT